ATACTACAGCAAATTAGCTTATAGAATCAAACGTAATTCTGATTGCTAATATTATGTAAATAAGAAAAAAGTTCAGTGCAGTTCAGTGCAGTTCAGTGGAGTTCAGTGCAGTTCAGTGAGTCGAAAGTCTGTCTGTGATTTGAAGGCTTTACACGTGCTGTAGTACAGTGATATTTGGAGGGTGTAGTTACAGTGAGACTGTTAGAGTTTATGTGTTAAAATCCGTTGCCAGGAAACGACTAGTGGAGGCTGCGATAGGCTGAGGACACTGGTATGTGTGTGTGTGTAACATTGAACTGAAAATTGTACAAATAGCGAAAGCGCCATAATTAATTGTAGTAACGAGTTGAGTGTGTAAGTGTAATAAATCCAACAGAAACCCGTATATAAGTCATGCACAACCCAAATACGTGACAATACAATATAATAGAGTAAAACCTTTATGGAATGGAACATGTCTGGAAAGGAACCTGCCCTTGTAAGAGGGCTTCTTCTGCTCTTCAATGGTATACAGACATAATGATATAAGAAAGCACACGTGTTTAGCGCGGAAACGGTAATGCAAAATGAGAATTTTGTGGAAAGTACCCTCATGAATAATAATTATTTTAGCCCAGTTTCTTCATTTAGAAAAAATAAAAGTGGACTTATGAGATTCCTTTACTGTCTGTGTGTCTGTGAATCTCCCCCTCAATATTTGAATGCCCGAATCAGTTTTTATGAAACGTGGTATGTATATCATGCCACATGAATCTGTGGCCTTCTCCATAAATTCCTCCCATCAGTTTTTGTGTCATGTCAAAGGAAAGTAGACGATAAGTTATTCCCGTAACGTATTATTCGGTGATATGTAGGGCTGGAAAGGAATACAGGAGGAAGCATGGGAAGTTAATAGCACGAAAGCTTATATAGAAAATAATAAGACTTTCCGCAGAATTTTCAACGGGCATTACATTTATTCTGTATCAGCATAAAATAGACGTCGTACGAAAATAGATAACATAGCATCGTAAAAAGAGTTCTCTCTGTGTTTATCTAATTAAGCACTACGCCATGAAGGCGTATGGGGGAGTGGATGTATAGATCCACATTTTCTTGACCTCGGCACTAGCTGGAGGTGAGAGGACAGATTCACGCCCCGACCGCTTTACCTCAGGGGAAGAAGCCCCTGATACCCATTGGATAGGAGGCTGGGTGGACCCCAGAACTGAATTTTAAGGCCTGGAGAAGAGAAAAATTTTTACCCTACCGGGACTCGAACTCCGATCTCCTCGGTCGTCCAGCCCGTAGCCAGTCGCTATACCAACTACGTTATCCCGGCTCCTCAATAATATTAAAATAAATGATTTTTTTAAAACTTTACCCTGTCCCCGAAGTTAGTAAACAAGACACGAGCATAATCCTCGAAGTAATTGGCCAGGAGGGGGTTGGTCCATCCACCAAGGTCCTGTAAAGGCTGGGGCAGATCCCAGTGGAACATCGTTACCTGAAAAGAGCAGCTCATATGAATTTGCACAGGAACGAATTCAGGCAAATGTCGTGATTTCAGGCCAGGCTAGAAATATGAAAAATATGACAAGTAGAGGGACAGTGGTTGGAGCTGCATTGCAGGAGGGAGAAAGGGTGACACGCTGTAACTAAGGCTCTGTTATAACTCACATAAAACACACATTTCTCATCTCAGTTATTGGACTAGACCGAGTCCACTGCGCTTTCTGCTGAAAAAGGTCAATTAAAAAAAAAAGTAAAGTGGGTAAATTCAGAAAATGAAAATGAAGCAAAAATTTATACCGATATTACTGTCAATAATTTCCTACTCGTAATAAGAGAAGGTAAAGCTATCTCTGTAACAGGCTATGGAGGCCTATAACGTTGTGAGACGTCGAGGCTCCCACATTTTCTAGACAACTAGCTCACAGATGGCGGTGAGGTTGTCAGCCTTACGCATCGGCCGCCTTTTACCCCCCCCCCAGGAAGATTCCTGGTACTCATTTCTCTTAGAGGCTGAGTCGACCCCAGGGTCATAGTGCGGCTGGAAGGATTAGGTCAGATGAAAAATCCAGTGACCTCATCGGGAATAGAACCCGCAACCTTCTGACTTGTGGCATAGTGTTTCAACTAACTACGGTACCGCGTGTCCACTCCTACTCCTAGGAGGCATGTCTCACTCCGTTACAGAATTTTCTTCCTGAAAATAACAACGCCGGAACAGAGAAGTAGATATTGCCAGCAGAATAAAATTAAAGGTAAAGCTGAAGAAAGCAGTCTTCTGGGATTTGGCACCGTGTATATGTGGTGTTAACCGACGTTTCGGAGGAAGGTAAAAGCAATCTGCTTTTACCGGTTCTCACGGTCTCTTCGCTTGCAGATTTCTTACATTTTTTCTTCTACCCTGAAGATGGAGGCGATACGTTCTTCCGAAACGTCGGTTAACACCACATATACACGGTGCCAAATCCCAGAAGACTGCTTTCTTCATAGTCACCGCCGTGAAAGCCTCAAATCTTACGTAAAGGTAAAGCTATTTCTGTACCTAATTAATTAAGTAGTACCTACTGAAAACGTATGGAGGAGTGAAGGTGCAGTTGCAGAATTGTTAACCTCATCACTAAGTTTATTTTAAACAAGTCGCAAGCTGCGATGCGGAGTGTAGGAATCCATCTAGAAACAGGATTACTTGTGTTTTCTTCTGAAGATATTAATGAAACTGCGGGTTCTGCCCACAAAAGGGGGGGGGGTTACATTAACATTTGTTGCTTAAAAATAGAGCTGGATTTAAGGGGAGGGTAACAGGGGCTGCAGCCCGGGTACACCATGGAACAGGAACAAAATCCACAGGTCATATTTAAATTTATTTTTCCTCTAAAATCCCGGAAAGTTAATTCGTATTTTTTGTTATGAAAGAAATAAAATTAAGAACAATTATCATAAAGGAATTTGTTGTTACATATTTCGATTTCTCCAGGGGGCCCCACGACTCTAAATCAGGCCCTTGTTAACTGTCCTTCAAGAATGTTTCCGCTACGTGGTGTTTGTTAACATAATTATTCAAGACGAAATAAGAGCAATTACCACTGGCTGAATTCCATTGGCAATCAGTCCATTTATCAGATTGTTGTAGTAGTGAATACCGGCTTCATTTACCACGTTCGCGTGTCCAGTAGGTAAAATTCGTGGCCAAGATAGGGAAAACCGATAGAAGTGGAACTGAAACATTAAAAGTGGTATATAAATGCTTAACATATGAACATGGTATGTTATTTAACATATAATCCATGTTATTTAACACAATACTAAAAATTCCCCTCAAGATTATGTGGCCATCTACAGAGAACTATTCAAATGAACAGTGGAAAACAAATCTAATTTTATGGGGAATTTAAAACAGATAAGATTCATTACGAAGCAACGGCTAGCAAGCAGACATTGCAGACTTTATTTTGTGTGCTAGAGTTAACAGTAATCTTCAGAGCGTTATAATTATTTGCAGTTATGGCTTGTGAGTGTCCAATTAATGCAGTCACATAATCTAGAACTCATTACTATTCGTGAAGCAAACATCACACACGTAACAATATGTTACGTGTAACTTGTTCTCACCCCTACATCCTTCAGTATTTTGATGTCTTCCTGGTAAAGATGATAGGAATTACATGCCACGTCCCCACTAGACTGATCGTTGATGACGTCAGGGTGCTGGTGGACTAGCCTGTCCCATATACTCTCGCCCTTACCTGTGGACCAGAGTTCTACTTTCAGACAATTTTAGATCTTTCATATAAATTCGGAGCAGAGCAGGGAATCACAGATGACCTTAGCCAGCACAGTCATTCTCGTAGGATGTAAGGTTCTCACAGCGGTGGTGATTAATCTGGCTAAGAACTGGGGGCCAGTGGCGGGATCTTGTGAGCACGGCAATGAACCTATATGTTTCATAAATATTGTGATTCTTTTTTAGGTGAACAACTACTAGCTTCTCAAGATGGACTAAGCTGAATGGTGCGAGTTATTATTAAATATATAATCATATGTTCTGACCTAATGAAAGTTTTGTTAAATGCTACACTTGCTTGGCACTGGTGCAATTGCACTGGAAGTATGAAAAGTAATGTCACTCACCATCTTCATTCCATGCGCCTTCAACCTGATAGGCCGAAGTAGCTGCTCCGAAGAGAAATCCAGGAGGAAACCGGAAGGCAGACATCGCGGTGTGGTTCTGTGGTTCAAATAACCATGAATGACCTTATTCTGAGAGCTGCAAGTCGGTGTACTTCCTTGCAGAACAACTTTACTAAGAATGAATCATTTCGCGCACCTTCCAACTGCACCGAGCAGCACGGTTTGAGTTGCGGGAACAGATAACTTCTTTAGTTGATATAATGCGCTTACTGAATGATACGGCGCAACGCTACAACAGGCCTCCCTTACGTAAGTCGATATAGTCTACAAGGCTTACAGTCTGTTCAAGACATCGGTTCTGAATGCTACTAATTCGTATGAAACTAGGTACATTTTATGTATCTTGATAGATATGAGAAATATAAAGCAGACCTTTGTGGAGGTGAGTTCGAATACCTCCACCGTAACTCTGCGAGTCGTAGGAAGCGATGGAAAGAGAACCCAGTGGAGGTATAACTGGGCCACACTGCCCTGGGGGATATAAATATGGGGACCTGGCCCTCCAGGTTGAGGGTTTCGAATCTGAGACAGTAAAATGTGGTCATGAGTTCCGCGGGACTCTGATCTGAGAATGACTGCGCTGGCGAGGCCCATCAGCAATTGTAAAAGACAGACCCATCCTCTCGTCAGAGAGAGAGAGAGCGCCCCACATCAAGACAGACTGGCCAACTGACTGTCGGTCGTAACATAACTTTGATTTCTATTTGACTTTGAGAAATGCATAGCGATTAGTTGCCTGCTTCGCACTGTTATGGTCCAGATTCGATGCTAGGTCAAGTCATGTGGAATTTGTGATGGGCAAAGTGGTACTAAGAGAGGTTTTGTCTGATTACTTTGGTTTCCTCTGCCAATTTTCATTCCACCGACTGCTCCATATTCATTAAACCTCCTATCACCGACATTACAGCGTCGTTAAATAGAAACAAAAGTTTCTGGGAAGAACTAATACCATACTACACGGGTCGCATAGAAAATGGCGCATCCAACAATTCGTTGTTGCGGGAACATACACGTATTTACCAAACCGTTGTCTAGCAACGACACGAGGGATACACATGCAGAGACAGAAACTGATGGGAGGAATTTATGAAGCACGTCGTTGAGATGGGCTTAGGTGGCACGATATACATTACAAGTTTCTTATATATTAGTTAATCCATTCAAAATTTAATGGAGGTGGGGTATATACAGACAGCACGGTTATGCATAAGCCTACTTCCTTGATTTTAAAATAAGAAATGTAGGCTAAAAATGAAGGAAAATAAAAATATACGTATATACAAAATCGTAATCCTAAAACCACAGCTTTGGGAAGGGGGTGAGAGGATATTATTAAAATTACTCTTCAGCAAATGTGAAATGGGGGCACGGATTGGATTTAGACGCCTCATTATATAGTTCACTTGCGGTCTCTTTTTAATCACGATAATATGCCCTGAGGTTCCGTAAAATGGATGGATTTCCTTGGATACACGAGCGACTAGCAGCTTCTAAAGAAAGACTGGACTCCATGCAGCTAGTTCCATCAATAATGTTCAGAATTAATGCGTTTTGGAGTATACTGTACCAGGATCCATATCTCTTGACGTCCCATGAGAAAAGGCTTACTGTGACCTTTCACATTTTCCTCACGGTTTGTATGATAGCAGCAGAAGAGAGAGGGAACGGAAAATTGGACCGACCACGTGGAAATAGAATTAACTATTGAATGAATATCAGAATATAAACTGAAACGTCATACGTAATTTTTAGAACATTTTCATTATATCTTTTAAAAATTAAAAGCAGGCTTGTGAGATACCCTTTCTATATCGGTGTATCTACCCTTATGAACTCTTCGAATGGCTGAACCAATTCTCATGAAATTTAGTACGTATATTATGACACCTTAACTCACCTCAACGGCTTTCTTTACTCGTGGAGCTGAACCCTCCTGAAGAGCAATTATGTAACTGAACTCATCTGGCTGAAGATAAGGACCATTGGCAGGCTATTTTGAACACGGCATTAAATTTTGAGGTCCTACGAAAAGCAGGATAATTTCTGATGTAGCTGGTTGGCAATTCCTTCGCGCAGGACTATGCCACAAGGGGAGAGCTAGTATTTATACCACTGCAATTGCTCCTCCATTTAATTCATTTTCAGCGAAGAGAATTGAATGAAGACATAGAAAGGTTTTTAACTCATATAAAATTCCGTTTCATGTTTTCAGTTCAAAATGAAGCAATCTCATTTTAGTTGTAACTTTCCTACAGTAAAAATTTGTTTGAGAGAATATTAAAAGAGCAGATGTTACAGTCTACGGTTATGACAGCGAAACTTTGTGTCAGATAAATATTATAGCAGAACTGTTGGAATAGCAGTGGTTACGTGTAGTAAGTGTTGTGCCGCAGGGGGTCGTGGCCTATTCTCCCCCTCGGGGCACCAGTAGGTCGCTCTCCCCAACCCCGGGACTCACAAGGGAAGGTAGTGCGGGGCTTGCGTATATGCCATTACACAATAATACAGCGATAAGCAAAGTGTGTATATATTATAAATATGTTAATTACAATAAAAGCAAGCAAAAATGGATGCCTTGTGGCTCCAGCGTTCTCTCCCTCTTTGTCCTGGTCTGCATAACCCAGGTAGCACTAGTGGAACAGAACATAACACTTAAACCATCCAATTAAAGTTCCTATATAATACGTGGG